AAGTGCTGCTCATAGGGGGTCATATGATTGTTGGGTTTTTTCTCTGTATGTATTAATGTAGGGTCTACCTTACGATAGAAAGCGCCTTGAGGCGACTGCTGTTCTGATTTGGCGCTGTATAAATAAAATTTAATTTTGTTATTAATTTTTTTTTTTGTTTTTGTGGGGGTGCAGATCACATCATGGCTACTGTAGGAACTGGTAAGTCCATCCATTCTTTAAAACCTTGTAACAAATGATTATTTAAAAAATAAATTAGACTGAAGGTGGTTGCATAAGCTCACATAACATCTGATGATGTACACATGTAAACACTAGTTCTAGAAGGTTATTCCAAAAGATGTATTACTGACATTTATAATGTTGTTTCCAGTTCTCATTTTCACATTAATCTTCTAACTGCACTCCTTTCCTGTTAGTTCATGGATTAGGTATTATATTAGCAAATAGATTCGTTTTGGGATTAACTGTGGGATTAGCTGTAGAATTAGCTAACATATTAATTAGCAGATTAGTTATCCCATTTAACATTTCTGTGACTGCTTCAGTCCTTGGAGAAAAAGCAGTGCATCGAGATGCAATGTAAGGCGTTCTCTGATTGGTTGCAGAGACAAAGGCTGGCTGCTTTATTTTTCCTATGCTGCTGTTTGTGCCAATAACTTTGCACCACTAAGAAGTCTGTATGCTTTTACATAGGCCACGATGACCTGGATGACTGAGAACCTTCACAGACATTTTACATAGGCCATTCTGCCCTGATATTTACACCCTGCCCAACACAGATATATGAATAATATCAAAGGTTTCTGCAATGAAATGCACTGCAGTACATTTTACTATGATTTATTTTACTTCTAACAATAGTTCTAAAAGTTTTTTTTAATAAAGGTCCGTAAATCAGATGATGTGCTCAGGCTGAAAGAAAAGGAAAACAGATTTAAAAACTTGACCAATGTTATAAAAAGGGCTTAACATAAAATCTAAACTCACAGTAATGAAATTGTTTCAGTGGCCCAAATTTAATAAAACTAAAGCAGAGACATAAAATCTAATTCACATCTGTCTCTGTGCTAAAGAGGGCTCATGAGGTGCTACCAATTACTCATGGTTTCTTTAATGCAATTCTCATTGAAAATAAAATGTTGATCTCTGGAGTTTTGTTCTAGGGCCTTTCCTTTCATGCAGAAAACTCACAGATGACCAGCCTCCAAGTTGGCAAAAAAGTGCAAATTAAACCATAAAAACAGGGACTAGAAAGAGAGAGCAGATTTCTCCTGTTTTGGCTTCCTGTTAAATCCAGAATTCAAAATCCTGCTCCTCACATACAAGGTCTTAAATAATCAGGCCCCATCTTAT